AGAAGAGATGGAGGTGGATGGGGACGCATCTGGAGCTATGGATTCGAGCTTCGTATCCATGAGATGGAAAGAGGAGGTGAAGGAAACGGCGCGCTTGCGAGAGGCGGACGGGGAGAAGGAAGAGGGAGAGGCCGAAGAGGACGGAGCAGGAGAGGGCGCGGACGCTGCTGGCGGCGCGAGGGAAAAGGTGTGGACTGAGATCGAACTAGAGCGCATGCGAGCCGAGGTAGAAGCGCAGATGCAGCGGATGCGGGAGAGCGAGGAGGGCCGGCAGAAGCTCGAAGCGGCGCGCGACGCGTGGCGGAAATACGAGCTGCTGTGCAGCGGCGCCTCTCAGGAGCTAGCAGAGCAGCTGCGGCTCATTCTAGAACCTTCCATGGCGACCAAACTGCAAGGAGACTACCGATCGGGGAAGAGAATCAACATGAAGAAGGTGATTCCGTACATTGCAAGCGGGTTCAAGCGGGATAAGATCTGGCTGAGGAGAACCCGCCCGGATAAGCGCAAATACCAGGTGGTTCTAGCTATTGATGACTCGAGAAGCATGTCGGAGGCACGGTGCGGGCATCTAGCGCTCGAAGCAATGGCCACGATTTGCCGAGCGATGGCGACGATCGAGGTTGGGGAGATCGGGGTCGTTGCTTTCGGCGAGCCGGGCAACGTGCGCATGCTGCATGAATTAGACCGGCCGTTTTCTCCTGAAGCAGCCGTGCAAGTCATCTCGCAATTCTCGTTCAAGCAGGACAACACGATTGCGGATGAGCCAATGGTGGAGCTGCTGCGGTTTCTGTCTAGGGCGCTGGATTCTGCTGCGATGAGATACTCTGCGAGTGCGGGCACGGGAGGAGGAGGACATCTGGAGCAGCTGGTGCTGATTGTGGCGGATGGGCGGTTCCATGAGAAGGTATGGTGTGGCATGTGGTGTGGCATGTGGTGTGGCATGTGGTGTGGCATGTGGTGTGGCATGTGGTGTGGCATGTGGTATGGCATGTGGTGTGGCATGTGGTGTGGCATGCGGTATGGCACGATGCACATGGCATGGCACATAACATGGCGCAACTCTGTCCCGCTCCATCCCCCTCCATCCCTTGCGTGGAACCATCTCCCACAACACCCACAACCTCATTGCTTCTCCAACACGCATTCCACTCCCTCCCTGCCTTGCCCAAACCCCCCTGTGCGTCCACCGCGCCAGGAGACCCTAAGG